ATAATGCCCTTTAAACTCTCAATGACCTTTTAAGTCTCGGATAATTAAAATAGAGGTGCATTTTCAAAGAGTGGTTCCAGATGTCCAGCACATCCAAAATGAATCTATCATAATCCACATTAGACATGAACCAGAGGTCACCTACTAAAATGAACAAGCAGCAGCAATGTTTCCTATAATTTTTTTCCACCCATGTACAAAACAAACTTTATGTGCACTGAAGCACGTGCGAATGTGCACCACCAGTAAAAACACATGCTGCTGGCTGTGGATGCTCTGCTAATCAGCTGGGTGGCATTTGAATCTCTCATGAGTGGCCGCCCAAGCACACAGCTTACAGGGAACAATGGCAGCAAGTTTAAAAAACTCCTGGGGGAATATTTCTTTGCACAATGGAGTTAGCCTGGGGACTTGTTTCCAGGGAATGTTGTGAAGGCCAAAATTATAACTCGGTTCAAAAAATAAATAGATCAGTTCATGAAAGATAAGTCCATCAATGAGTGTTAGCCAAGATGATCAGGGATGCACCAGCATGCTCTTGGTGTCTCTCACCCTCTGATTGCTAGAAATGGGGACTGGATCACGTGATGACTGCCCTGTTCTGTTCATTCCCTCAGAAGCAGCTGGCACCAGCCACTGTTGGAATATAGGATATTGGGCTACATCAATGGTCACCAGCCAGTAGATCAGGAACTACTGGTAGAGCTTGGAGCCTCTGACAGGTGATCCTGACTGGTTTGGCCAGGAAGCTGTCTAGTTCCAGGACTTCAACTGCTCCTTCCCCCACTGCTGCACATCTCCTGCCCTTTGCCTTGGAGCTGCTCCCCAACTGGGGAGCCTTCTGCTTTCTGTGCAGGTCAGGGGAGGGAGAGGAGAGTGCTGATGTCAAGGTGCCCCCTCCCACCTTGTATCCTATCGCCACACAGCAGAGAGGGGGCACAACAGGACTTGGTATGGAGTTTGCTGGCTGCTTTTGGGAGTGGTCCAGGGCCAGGATAAGGGTGAACCTGCCTTAACCCCACTGCACCACCATCCAGGAGCCACCAGCAGTGCCCAGCTAGAGCCCATGTCCTGAACTCCTTCCCCAGTCATGAATCTCCTCCTGCACCCCAAGCACCCAAAGGCCATCCCAGAGCCTGCACCTGGAACCCCCTCCTACATCCCAACTGCCTGCCCCAAGAGCAGCTCAGAGCCCCTCTCACACTCCAGATCCCTTAATCCAAGACCAGAACCTGCACCCCAACCCTCTGCCCCAGTCTGGTGAAAGTGAGTGAGGATGAGCAAGAGAGGGAGGATGGAGTGAGCAGGGGCGGAGTCTTGGAGAAGGGGAGGGAAGGAGGCAGGGCAAAGGTATTTATATTTGAGGTAGATCTTGGATTGCATTTCAATTCGAAAAGTGATCTTGTGCTTAAAAAGGTTGGAGACCACTGGTCTACATGGACCCTGTCTCTGGCAAAGTATGGCCATTCTTATGTTCTACCAGTTAACCCACTCTACTGGTACGTCAGACAACTACATGGATTCTGGGAAAATATTGTCAGCTTTTCATTCAAATTGATCCCATTCAGAAACATCAGAGAACTAATCTCCCTCATAGAACAATTTGGTAGCTATGCAGGACTTTATATGTGCCAATTATTCCACACATTGTTGCCCGCAGAAATGTTGTGTTCATTGCCTGGAATAGAACTCCAGACCTTCTGCTCCACTCAAAAGCACAAACCATACTCTCTTGAACTAAATCACATTGTGACAAATGAGTTACAGGTGTTTTGGCTTGGCTGAGATACAAATGATAAATTAATAATTCTCCATTGACTGTAGCAACATGAGGCTGGTGACTCTTGCACTAGAGAGAAGCATTCCTGAGCAGCAGGGCTGGACAGAGGCATGGGTGAGCCGGGCAGCTGCCCAGGGCACCTACCCACGGGGGGGCGCCTGATGGCAGCTGTAAGAGGCATGTGGTATCCCTTACAGCTGCCATCAGGAGCCACATGCCCGGCTCCCGCAGCGCCGGCCCTGTGGCGCCGGAAAGCAGCGCCCTTGCCCCCATGGCTGCGGGGCCCTGTACAGTCCAGCGCGTGCGCCAGCAGCGCTGGCCGGGCAGTGCATGCACCGTGCGCCCCGGGGTCGGGCCCCAGGCTGCAAGCCTGGGGCCGGGGCCGGCCCGGCCACGCGCCGAGCACACCAGGGGGGAGCCCCACGCTTCGCGCCCACC